CATTGTTTACGACAGTAAGTGAATCAGTGTGCCATTGATACGAGGAAATAACTAACGTAATTCCAGAGCTCAAGTGGTGGCTCGTTAACGCTTTCAACGGCGAATGGTCGAGGATCACGAATGCGGTGCCCAAATCGCAACTTGATTCGAAGTCGATAGGACGTGAGTCAAAGGCTCGGCATGTATAGTGTTTGACGCGTATAGAATGCGCAGGCGTTACAGGCGCGGAATTCTAATATCGTTACCTTGCAAAACTATTCTCATCAGCCATCTCGAATGCCCAGATACCTTTGAAATTTGCAGCTAATAAGTCGAACAATGTTAGCGAAGCCAGTTAATATGCATAATGCTGTGCTTGTGCTTGCTGATTCGCGGCTTTTGAGTACAGGAGTAAACCTAGGAACATGCTCAAGTAAGCCCCACACTTTCACGCGACTTTGAACCTACTTGAAAATCGTGATATCGCCATGTGGTTACAAGAAGTCTCAATCTATGCATTTGCAGGCTCAAAAGTGGCTGTCATTGAGGAAGCTCTCATCAGTCCTTCCCCTCTCGAACCCCACTTTTGAAGCTACTACATCCCACATCGCAAGCATGACGGCATCTTCGCCCATCCTCTTACCTTTTCCGCCTCGACTAAGTTGTGACTTGATATATAAACCTCAAACATCGACAGAATGGGTTTCGAGCCTAGCAACCTAGCCGTCTGCGAAACGTGCGGCACGCAATTCGACGTTCCGCTTGAGCAGCACCCTGAGACATGTCGGATTTGTGATGTACGTCCATCACCAGCACCAAGAACCCAGAAACACCACAGCTAGGATACAAAACAAAGGAGAAGTAAAGCTAATCAATGTCTAGGATCCCCGCCAGTACGTCCCCGCATCAGGCCAATCCTGGACTTCACTCTCCGCCTGCCAATCCCTTCAAAAGAACACTTTCGAAACGGATAAAGAAGACCCTCGTATTCACTACATAACCACTGCGCCTCTGTCTCCATCGGAACTTCCTCCCGGTCTGGCCGATTCTAGCACGACCCGCAAGCAACTTGGTATCGGGCAGCGCGCCATCTTACTACAAACATCCCGCGGAAACATTCTTTGGGACTGTGTCGCTTTCTTGAACCCTGCTACCATCGACTTCATCAAGGGAAAAGGTGGACTAAAGGCAATTGTTATTAGCCACCCGCATTTCTACACGACGCACTTGGAATGGGCGAGTGTATTCGGGTGCCCGGTGTATATGTGTGGTGATGATCGGGTGTGGTTGAACCGGAAGGATCAGAATGGTGTGAGGAAGTTTGTCAAGGGCGTCACTGAGATTGAAGAGATTGGGGGCGAAGCCAAGATGATTCAATGCGGCGGGCACTTCGAGGGCAGCTCGGTGCTGTGGTGGGATCGGAAGCTTTTCATCGCTGATACGTTTATGAGTGTACCTGTCAGTCCTGTTCTCCTTTTTCTTTTAAAAAAAAAAACGTTATTGGGCTTAACACGGCTAACAATCGTGGTAGTCTGGTTTCAACAACGCGCACCGCGTCCCTGTTACGACATCGTACTCGTTCATGTGGGCGTATCCCAATATGATTCCACTAACGCCCAGGGCTATCCATGGAATCTGGAAAGCGATCAAGCCGTTCGAATTTGACAGGACGTACGGAGGGTTTCCAGGGCAGGATCTGAAGAGGCCGGATTTGAAGAAGCAAGTGTTGGATAGCATGAAGATATTCCTGGGGAGAAGTGGACATGAGAAGGCGGAGATATATGAGGAAAATGTTTAAGATGAACTGGAAGGGGTCTGGTGACAGGCCGGCGAGATAGAAATTGATAGACTGAATGGATGTCTGCGAAGATAAGCGTTAATTAAATGCAGCTCAGCAAGCAGATTCGTCGCGACACAGTACAGAGTAAAGAAGACTTATATTCTATAGGGACCGTTACCACCACCCAGTCGATGCAGGCTTATCATAGATCCGTCTAATGCTCGATGTGAAACAAGTATGTACGATCGTAAGGGATGGTTCATGAGAGTAATGACGGGTAATAGCGCTTTCGATGTCACTGATGTGACTCGCAGGAACTTCCAGATTCCGTGTTTATGCGAGAGAGCCTCCAAGAACCCAGACTTCGCCGTTGGATACCTTGTCGGCGATGCTGGTCACTTCGACGTCGGCAGGTTGGATCTGCAGGCTTGTGTTAGCTAAGGACAGATTGAACTCGAGCCAGGTTGGCTTGTCAGTAAGTAAGTGTCCGCAAAAATTCAAAAGTGGTCAAAAATGACCAAAACATTGGCAAAAAAAGATCCTGGAGTATCTGACTATAGCCAGACGAATGCTGAACAGAGTGGGACTCGAACCCACGCCACTTTCGTGACCAGGATGTCTTGAATTTTCATTCTAGACTTAACGTTAAGAAACCTTAACCTGGCGCCATAACCAGCTCCTATAATTTGTTAGAATTGGTCGAATTGAGGGTGTTTGACTAAACTTACGGCCATCTGTCCTTCTCTAGGAGCTATTGATGGAGATTTGATGAATAGATGCAAATATATTGTTGATTGTGTGGGCATGGAACAAATGGTGGGGCAGTGCCAACCAGAGGGCGGGACTACCGACATAGCGGCATGGCTTACCTTCTTTTGGCCGTCTTTGGATTCCCACCAAATTTCATTGCCGGCAAGCGTCTTGACCTTCTTGCCCTCCTCCCATGGACTCTCTGGTATGATGTGGCGCTGAACAAAGCGCTCCAGGTTGCCCCGCGCTCGGTCTTGGCCGCTGGTGCCCTCGTACGCGTCCGCGCCAAAACTGTCGTAGTCGTCGGGGTCTTCCCAGGGCTTCCTCTTCAGGTCGCGCATGATGCTGTTATTCGGTGCCAACACCGTGGCGTTCTGCGAGGCGTTGTCGAGGCGGGCGGAGACTGCGTCGATGTCACGTGTCAGGCCGCTGAAGATGGCGATATTCTGTGTCTTGCCGATGACATCGGATATGATAACGCCGGTCGTCGCCTGGCCTTCAGGGTTGCTCATGATGTAGTCTTGGAGAGGTGATTGTTCGCTGAGGATGTTGAACGACTGTAGGATGCTGTCGAAGGGGCGGGCTTGCGCAGACGTGGCAAGGGTGAGGGCGATGGTTGCGAGAGGATATGCGACGAAAGAGACGGGCTTCATGATCGTTCCAGATGGTGCATTAGGGTGTAGTTACAGGTTCTGGGTGAAGGCGGCGTTGAAGATGGGAGCACAGACGTCATGCCGCGGTGAAGCCAAGACCTCGTGACCACGCGACGGGTCCACGGGGGCCTTCCGAGCTTGGGGACCAACTCTTCTTTTCCTCACATGCCTTCACCAACGTGACACCCCGCGCCCTGGAGCGCTTCTAATCCAGTCGCTCCACAATCTACACATCAGCCATGGAGCTTCAAATACCAACCGTCACTACCGTGAGTGCAGCAGTCAAGTATCGCGCTCGTAGCCAGTCACTAAGTAGCTCAGGACGACTTACGCGCCTTCCATGCGCAACACTTCCCACACGCGCCGCCGCCAGAACACATACTTCATGGCTTCGAGCCAGAGGTAGAAGTAGCTGAAGAATACTACGACGAAGCCGACGATGGGCTGGGCTACTACCCCGACGGCACGAAGCGCACCCTGACCGACGAGCAAATCGCCATGTTTCGACACTCCGAAATCCATGCAATGCTCCGCAAACGGCGCGTACAGAAGGAGAACGGTGAAGTCTCCGGGGATGACGCTACCCCTGCAAGCCCAGCGGCGACGGTTCCACCTACCCAAGAAAGCTCCTCATGTACGGCTGATGTCGATAAGACGCTGCCTGATGCGTCTGCAGAACCGAAGAAGCAACAGTGGGCGACCAACAGTGCCACATCAAAAGCCAAGGCCAAGAGAAAGCGGGATCGGTACGCGAAGAGGAGGAAAGAAAGAAGGTTGGAGAGAGGCTTGCCGCGCAGACGGAGTGGGCGCGACGGCGCAGACAGCGGCGATAGTGACGATGGAAGCGACGAATGGGACGCCTGGCACCAAGCGAACGGGCCCGACGTGCAAAAGGACGAGACCCTCGATCTGGATTATTGAACGGACGACACCGATCACTGATGCTCAATCTCCCATTCAACGCAGCAGGCCTTCCACCCCAACTGCTGGCTTGGAACAGATCCAACACACTCAGCCAGACTCAAGTCGTAAGTACTCTTCTCTCTTCACCCCCATATGCAATGATGAAACTCTAGTTATCATCCTTAGGCGTAGCTGGCGTCAGGCTTGAGACGAGGGTGAAAGACTGCTTGCGGTCTGATCTCTTGACTCGTCTGGCGCTTTCCAAGACGACTCATAATCTTCTCACTGAGCACAGCTTCTCCTCGTAACCACACAACATACTGTCTGTATCACTGTACTGACTATTACTAGGCTTCGTTCTAAATGATGAGACCACGACTTGCACCGGGGGACCTCGAAGAGACGCGCAGACCGGCAATAGCTGTGATTGCGCCGCGTCACTGGGAAGACTCTAGGCACTTCGTTGGTTCACGGTCACCAAACGTGGAATCTATAAGAGTTGGGAGAATTGATTGCATCTGAACAATCACTTAGGTACACAATTGGGAGAGTCGATTTTTCATGGAAATGGCCACACTATGGAGATGCCTTGAAGCCATTGAAGCCATAAAAATAGAGTCTTCCGCCTATCCTCCGAGACCTTTACCAGAATACCACTGATGCCGAACGCGAACAATCCCAAGATGCAGCAGAAACTTTTGATAAGTAGTCAAACGGGAGCTCGCCGCCACGCTGGCAAGTGCCCTTCTTCCATATGTGAGTGCTCTGATCGTGTGCGAGCTAGACCGGTATGCCAGTGAACCGTCCGAAGACCATCGAACGAGACAGGCAAATAATCTCAATCGCTGTTGGTATTAGGCGTCGCAGGAGTGAGGTCGTGGCACCTTCAACTTGATCAGCATTCTTCCAGGCGGACGACTCCATATCTGGGCGACTTACGAGTTCAGATAATCCCTCCATCGCTGATGGGTGTAGTCTACCTTCACTGCGAACGGCATATCTTGGATGCTTGGTTTGAGATGTTCGTACATGGCCTCGACTTTCTCGCGAGTCCCATCCAGATCTGGGACCGAGTATACCATAATCCGTACCTCTCGCAACGCGAGGAGCGAGCGAAAATGCTTAGAATGGCGGATTCCAAGGCAGAACAACTCGAGTTCTGTAGGCATGCTGTGCCAGTAGACTGTGAGCTGTAGGGTCGTGATTTGTTTGCGCTGGCTTGGCTTCAATTTCTTAAGCGATCTCGCTGCTTCCCGAACAGTCTCGGCGGAGAATGTCGTGAGAGCTAGTGGCATGATTGCGGTTTCTGAGTATATCTGACGACAGGTCCTCAAAAGAGCTGTGGCGTCTTCTGGCTCTGTCGGTGGAGAGCAGAATCCCAATGTCCAATCTGATTCATATAGTTTTCCGCCCAGCACAAGCTTCCAGATTTTGTTGCGAATCTCGGCAGGCATTCGAAGCAACGGGGATTTCTCATTTCGTTTGACGCTGGCAGTCCGTTAACAGTTGCTCTTCCTGAAAGACTAGGTACACTCACAGCTCCTTTTCACCACCTTTGGGTGTGACGTTGAGGAGGCCGTTTCGAAACTTGTGGTATCCGCGCGCCGGTCGCTTGACAACCTTGTCTGCGCTCTTCTTGGTGGCAGGTGCCTTCGGGGCTTTGTCGCCGACGGCGGTCTTGCGGGGCGCCATTGCTGGTGTACTTTGTCGAGATTGCTGAGATTGTTCGAGTAATGCGCGGTGTTCTGGGTTGGGGTACAATCAAGAAATGATTGACCTTTGAGGTAAAAGCTAGGAAAGACCTGGCAGCGGAGAACTACTACGAAGGAAACCGCGTAAGACTAGCGTGTGACCGTGCGTTGAGCGAAGAGGCAAGCACGTGGCGGCGATCAGAAATTGGTGAGGGGAGGAATGATGGTGATAGTGATACGAGTCACCGAGTATGGGTTGCTACCTGATCCACGCCGTATCGTCGCTCACCTCACGCGAGATGTATGAGCGAGCGCCGGTACTGTTAGAGACGAGGATGGCCAGTTGACTTTACCCTGTCCTTCGTGCTGCTACTTGGCATTATATCCGGTCTCGCCTACCTTCACCTCTTACATCCCGCTCGCATTAGGTACTTCATCTCTTCTGATTCACCCTGTAAGCCCGAACTGCGCCTTTACCTGACCGCTAGGGCCCGGTAGTTCCATAAGTAGATATCTACTCTGCTCTTTTCCTTAGACATCTCCTCTACACTCCCCAAATCATCGACATCCTCACCATGGCATCCCGCAAGCCTAAGCAGACTGCGACCGTCGCCAAGAGTAGGAAGGCTTCTACCGGCGCAGGAGTAGCGAAGCGCAGTTATAAGAAGGTTCGCTTCCATGAGAATGGCTTGCTCAACGTTGAGACAAAGACGGGAAAGTACCTTCAGATGTCAGTATCTCCGTCGACTTGGGTTCGGTTGGTTCACTAATTTGAATGTAGCGCGAGGCAGAACCAGCGAAACTCCCCGTTATTGCGGTTGCCAGCAGAGATCCGCCACTTGATCTTCGGATATGTACTCGGTGGCAAGACATTTGTCATCGACCACTACGTCAATCAAGACATTGCAAAGAACAGAACGCTCTTGAAGAACGCTCTTGCCTTGCTCGTGGTCTGCCGCCAGGTCTTTGCTGAATCTGCCTTGCTACCATTCAGCTCGAACACTTTCTCAGCTCTCCACCCCCAAACTCTCAACATGTGGATCAGAGACCTCCCCCCACCTTTCGCTCATGCTATCACTTCCGTACGACTTCATCCTCGCATAGAATTGTCTCTTCAGGAGAGCTGGTACGACACGCAAAGCGGAATACCACGATTGCAGATCTTCCTAGGTCGTGAAGATAAGCGACTGTCTTCATCTTTAACCTCTCTCAAGAACGTACAGCTTGCTGTAATCATGTGGATAAGAGGCCCAAGGAAAGATAACGAGAAGCTGCAAGAACACGGTTGGCAGTTCATAAAAGGTCTGTATGAGGCAGAGAACAGCGAGGTCAAATTCACCAGAAGTAGGAGACCGCTCTTGTTCTTCTAGTGGTTGAGATAGTTGCTTCTCTTTTTCTCCTTTGGCAAAAGTACTCTGGAATCGGTCTAATCCAATTGCGAACGTGCGAGTAAACTACTACATCTTGCCCGGAAAAGTCTGTTTATTTTGCATTTTATTTCACTATCATCCTTTCTATATGGTGCCACATTGGGCGATCTTTCACTCTAAGTAGTCCTTTGCTATGATATAAAAATCTATCTTTGGCTTATTCATCCACTCTCAACCACTCCACCGACGCATCCATTCGACTTTCAACTCAACATGTCGGCCGCTCAAACTACTCTTCAGACCGACACACCTAATGACAAGCCTCGCCGAGGGAAGCGCGGTTACCGAAAATCCAGAGATGGCCTACTCAATGTCAAACCCATCGGTGGCGAAATTGCTATGTAAGCTCAGCGCCACCACATCTAAATTTGCAATACTAATGCCAGCGTAGTGTACAGCGAAACGCCGAAGAATCGCCCCTCTTACGACTTCCTGCCGAAATCCGCGCCATAATCTGGAAGCTCGCCATTGGAAACCCTATCATACGCCCAGCATGGGGTGGACCTCTTAAGCCACTCAAATATAGAGCCGTATTTGAGGAGCGTGCGTCTGAATTCCCCGCACCAAGGCACCGCTTCGCCCTCCTTCGCGTCTGCCGCCAGATCTACTCGGAAGCTGCTGCGTATTCTCGGCACGTCAGCGTGTTTCGCTTCTACCACTTTGGTAGTTTACAATATTGGCTCAATCATGCTACAAGTTCTCAGCGAAAGGCCGTCCAGAAGGTACAGTTTGGCCGCTATGAGTACATATTACGAAGGTGGATGTCGAGAAATTTTGCCAAAGAATTGAAGAAATTGCCGGGGTTGACTCAGGTTGAGATATCGTACTATGGGTACAATGCTGAAGTAACTAAGGAGTTACTAGCTGGGTTGGACAAGATGAAGGGGAAACTTGGTAAGACCATGAACGTGAATCTGGAATACCAAGCTCGGCAAGGTAGTCATGATTGGGTTTGGACTTTCTTGAATGGGGAAGACTTCAATATGTAATGAGTAGATAGAATCTTGCTGCAATTACCTATAATCGAATATCGGATACGTGGTGTCGACGCGCATGTCATTGACGTCTCGAAGCCCAGTCCATCTTGAACATCTTTCACATTTGCCAGATTTCTGACACGCGTTGACGAATATAGTCTTGCAACTGTACCCAACATTGCCGATGAATCTCCGCTTTACGAATAAAGCTACCGTATTACCCCGAGGCGGAAGTCCAGATGGCACTTCCCCCGTCCTCATGCCTAAGGGCGCCGGGATCGTCTGGTCGGTATACCACCTACACCGTATTGAGTCCATCTATGGTCCAGACGCAAGAGTGTTCCGGCCAGAAAGGTGGGAGAGTGGGGAGTTGATTAAGAAGGCTCGTCCAGGCGCTGGATTTGTCGACTTCAATGGCGGTCCAAGACTCTGTCTAGGTAGTAAGCGAACAACTGTGTGTTTCTGAGTCGCGAAATGCTGATTCCGAATAGAGGATTACGCATTGATGGAAGCTAGCTATGCGGTGATTCGAATCCTCCAAGTCTTTCCAAACATCCGGATTGCCTCTGGGGTTCCGAACGAGCCTGTTGGAGCGGAAAGGCAGACATACACTATTGGCATATACCCGATGGATGGTGTGCACGTGAATTTGGATTGATGCAAGCGGTGTTCTGGGTGTGTTCTTGGCGGTTGTAACGGGGTTTGCGCAAAGAAAGTGGGACTCGCTTACTGGCCATGCGGCGAGGAAGGGGCGCGCGGAAGGCGACCGTGGTACGCTCGGCTCACATGTCACTCTTGTGGGAATGGATTCTGGCGATCTTAGCCCGCTGGAAGCTTGCGAAGCGTCCAGCAGCTCGTGAAAGGAGTCGTGGTCGTTTGTTGTAGTACCTGCGGGCATGGATGACGCGTTGCTTTTGTACCTGTATATGATTGGTATTTCTCAACTCGAACCTTGTCAACGGTGGAAAAAAAGGTTTTGCCCCTCTCTATGGCATGATTCGTGGGATTCGCGGGTATCTTGTCGCACAGATAAGGACATTCGTGCAGCTTGTGGCTGTCATGCATGCAGCCACCACCCCAAATGGATATCTTTCAGCCTCGCCACATTCTCAGCCTTGCATGCTTACCATGAAAGATATACCCGCCATTGAGCCTCTGGTCTTTCTTGGGATCGTTTGCGAAAACCAACAGCCTCGCAACTGACGCGTAGCGACGAAACGCCGTTTGTGTATAGATCGAGGATATGGCTCCAAAGGCCCCGGCAAAGAGCTTTTCCAGCAGGATGCGCGAATACAAAGCGATAACGGTAGCCTTGAAGTAATAACCTAGCGGCTACCTCTAGATCAAACTGACAATGCCATCAGAGAAAGACTCGTGGTAGTCGCCAAGAATATATACGCCAAGATTAGACACCGTCCAGCTGTGGCGACCCGGCCGGGCTTGAAGTTCGCCGACTATTGGATGCTAGCCATTCGTATGTCTGCCATCGGAATTGTAGTCACCGGAATCTCGCTCTGAGCGATGCGCACATACATCTCCATAGGCCTAAGCCGTGTGTTCGGTGAAGAAGTAGATGCGGATCTCAAGCTAGCCTTTCTTGGTTTCTTCAACAAAAGCCTCGATGTCCTCTTGGTGAGCTCTTTGGAATATATGGCTTCATTCTTTATCACAGTCTGGATGGCTCAGACGCCTGTAATGGGTGATAGGCGTGGTGTGAAGTACAGCGACTTTGGTCTGAGAGAGGAGTTGACGAAGCCGTGGATGACTGTCAGCAGCTTTGTCACAAGGTGGCGAAGGTCTAGCTTGAGCTGGAAGAGCGTTGCCCGCTGTTTGATTTGTCTTTGCGTATCTGTCTCGGTTATGTTGCAAGGCTTGGCCGTGAATACTGTGGCGATACCGAAGAAGCGTTGGTATCCTAACTACCAGAACGGTTGGAAAACGACGGCACATGATCGAGCGACAATGAGAATCGAGTATCCTAAAGTATCACTCCTCGGCGTGGACTGGCTAAACATCCTTGGTGTCGGCCAATCCAATATTGGAGGGGAAGGCTACCCACCATGGGACTGGGCGCTCGGCATGTCCGCTTCTCTCGCGTTCACCGGCTTAACGCATGTTGTGTCCACGGTAAAAGAAACGCAGAAAGGCTGGAGGCATGTGTATAATTACCGGCTGGACGGAGATTCATGGAAGCGCTGGACTGCACTCAATACCGATTTCGGCCTATCAAATGGGTCAGTCGAGACGGCCTCCGCAGACGATGAGCAAGTAACCAGTGTCTACGACTGGCTCAAGAACACGGACCATCAGCCAACATCTTCATCGATCGGTTGAACCGGTAACCTGACGCTCGTACTGCCAGTACTGAACACTGTCTGCACGCCAATGGAGTCATTGGACCCGGAGGCGTCAATCGTTGTGCGGCCGCCAGCTAGGAACGAATCGTCGGAAGCCGTGATCATGACCGATTTTGGACCAGTCCCATCCCTAGGCTTTGCCGGTGTCACTTGTTCCAGCTTGTTCCGACATGGATTATACGCAGTCAATGTGTGGATCGTGGACGGGGAAAGTCCCGACCTTAGCTTCAACCATTACGGTGCTGAATTGAACCAGAAGATCGTTTACGGCCGCGCAACTGCAAGCGACTTTGATGTTGCCAATGGAGTAGGTATGCAGGCACGGGACGTCATGCCGAGGCTTGAGCTATTGGTTCCATCAACAAGATTGCTGCCGCAATTCCTATTGATGAGTCGCAACCTACAGGCAATCGATCCACTTGTGAACTCCGACGCCATGGGCCTGTCGATCGTCATGGGGATCCTGTTCCAGAACATCCTCAGCATGAGCAATAAGTACTGGTCTCATCTTCCGTCGTCTCTGCCTTCCAAATCGGAAGATAAGATTGTATCCTATCCCATTCAATGGCAACTGTACGGGTCCAGTCCGCGTCTAGGCTGGGAGTGGGTAGCCGTTGCCGTCCTCGCGATTGTGCTGTTGTCGTCTTGCTTTGGCATATATCAAACACTGCGGTACTGGATGGCACCGGGTCCGTGGGTACAGCTTGATGGTATGATGATGATTGCGCAGCGAAGCCCGAAGCTTGAGGGCATCGGAGACAAAGAAACGGCGCGGAAAAGGATATACTCAGTGGAAGAGGATGGGAGTGGGGTGTTGATACTCAAGAGTAAAGCAGGGTAGTATATAGCCACCCTGAGTAGTTGTACAAGTCGCCTTCGCCGTTTAATGATAGCCCTCTTTTCAAAGAGACTGAATGCTTCTCAGACACCATACCTGAACTCGCGCACCTTCTTCTGGTAGTAGTAAGTCGCCAGCGCACCAGTCGCACCCAGAGCGATCGGTACAGGCGCGCGTCCGCCGGTCTTCATGATGCGCGGTATCGCAGAGCCCATCAACATGATGCTGTTGCCAAGCGCAAGTTCAGTGCCGTAATCCTGGTTCTGCTTGATACGGTAGCCTTGGATCGCAGGTTAGCTGAGGCGCTCACAAGCAGCTGTATACGTCCAATGCAGCCGGAAACACAGCCTATGGGCTAAACAGCTTACCAGCAAGAGCATACGAAGCACCCAATCCGATTCCAGCGACAAGGCTTGGTGTTGAGCGTGTTCGGAGATAGCCAGCAGTTCCTCCGACGGCCACTGCACATCATTTCTCAGTCAGCTCTCACACAACTAGACACGCAGATGGCGTTGTGGCACTTACACAAGCCTGCCAATGTGAAAGATGGATGCTCGGCCATTGTTTCTTCACGTTGGTTTGATGGAAAGCGATGCTTGTGCGTGATGGTGTGCTGATGTGGTACCACAGGATGAGATGATTGGGAAGCTGCCGAGGGCCAGCACGGACGTGCCAAGACACGATGACACTATCTTGGGAAACGGGCAAGAGCAGAGGATGCAACTAGCATGAGATTGACAACGTATTAAGTTCATTACTATATGTATG